CGTGGTGGCACTTTACACACACACACACACACACACACACACACACACTACAGGCAGCACCACCTACTATACAGCTCTATATGCCTCCTGGCCTCCGAAATGTAATCGCTATGTAGCTGTGGAGCACTTCCTTTGGGGGAGAAATTAGAACAATTCAATCTAATTTATCTGGCAAGAGCCAGCAAAACAGTACAATTCTGATGTAAGGAGGATTAAAACAGTAATAACAAAGGAATCGTATAAAAACATTAACAAGAGAAAATGAATGCAATTAGTAAAATGATGTCAATAAGAGACTCATACAATTTTTTTCAGCGAAAATAAGTTTACGTTTCCTAATAGCTAAGCAACAAAATTTCGCCACAGCGTTACGTCACTGAGCTCTGAACGTCTTCTAAGAGGAATTTACAAAGGACTTCTGGCTTAAAGTCAAGATAAGGCTGCAGAGGGCGAAATCTAGACAGAAGGATCTCGTTCTTCCTGATAGAATCTGCAGAACAGGAGGACATGAGTAACTGATTCCACCATACTAGCCATACATGGGCATCTATGTTCATGCATTGGAACTCAAGCGAATTTACCTTGCAGTAGCTGGAGAAGACTCTTGAGAGTCCCTTGGACTGCAAGAAGATCAAATCAGTCAATCCTAAAAGAAATCAACCCTGACTGTTCCCTGGAAGGCCAGATAATGAAACTGAAGCTCAAATACTTTGGCCACCCTGGCATTAAAGTTGTGAGTGAGCGATTTGGCTACTGCATAAATTAAGTTTGCTCTGGAGCCATCCTTCCTGAGCTAAGACAAAAATGTGTGGGCTGGAGGCTAAAAAACTGTGAGCTAGCTCACACTAACTCAGCTTAGAGGGAACCCTGCTCGTGGGTAATGTTAAATAAACAAGGGGCAGCAGTAAAATTAGGCCGAGATTTTAGATTTCTAAAGTTCTTGGGTAGCGAAGCTTCTTCGTTTTGCAATTCAATATCACGAAGCCTCTCCGCGACAGCTGTTCTTGCCTTGTATAGGCTTCCATAGAAGAGATCTTCTGGCAACAGGCCAGTCTGATTTAACTTATGAAGAATTTGTGTGGACCAGGCAGGGTAAGGGTCCGAGGCTAAAAGGTAAGGTATTATACCCTTTGGGTTGTAATGAATTAATTAGAACAATTTAAAAAACTGGAGGTGGCTGGGAGGGGGGCATCATTAAGGGTCTTACTTGGCAGAGCCAGGATGACTGCTGGTAGATCCTTTCTGGCTCATTCTGCTTCCAACACATCCACCTGTAAAAGATAGGAACAGGTTAACTGTTTAGAGAATGCACAACATTCAAGGTTTCATTCGCCCGATTCATTGCTTACTTGGATACTTTGTAAGCTTTTGGTGTAGTGGTTAAGTGTGTGGACTCTAATCTGGGAGAACCGGGTTTGATTCCCCACCCCTCCACTTGTACCTGCTGGATGAATGTGACCTTGGGTCAGTCACAAGCTCCGGCACAGCTGTTCCTGAAAGAGCAGTTTGTGTCAGAGTTCTCTCAGTCCCACCCACCTCACAGGGTGTCTGTTGTGGGGAGGGGAAGGGAAAGGAGTTTGTAAGCCGCTCGTAGACTCCAAGTGAAGGGCGGGGTATAAATCCAATCTCCTCCTCCTCCTCTTCTTCTTCTTTTTCTATGAAATGACCCCTGCCTACTGCAATGCTACAGCATTATTTACTAGAGAAAGAGGGGGTTCCCAGACCGCTGCTGCTTGTGTAGGCACAATGGAGAAAAGGAAGAGAAGAGGAGGGGCGGCGGCGGCAGTGAGTTGGAGCAAGAAGGGGGGCAAATTTGTGGACACCATCTCTGCCCATTCGTGCCCTATTTGCAGCAGCTGCAGTATGGGAACATTTTTGCATCCCCATGTAGATGCAACCCTTGACTGATGATTAACATTTTCTGCAAGATATTGCATGGACAACACTGGTGGAATTGCATGTATGAGCACCTCAGACGTGATGGCTGGAAGCATTAGATCCTCTGACTGCTTTGCTGGTGTCCATTAATAATTCTCTTCTTCTTCTTCTTCTTCTTCTTCTTCTTCTTCTTCTTCTTCTTCTTCTTCTTCTTCTTCTTCTTCTTTCTTTTACCTGACAGACCATCCCAGTAGGGTTGCCAGTTCTGGGCTGGGAAATACTTGCAGATTTGGGGTGTGGGGGGGGAGCCTGAGGAAGGTGGGGTTTGGGGAGGGGAGGGACCTCAATGCGGTACAATGCCACAGAGCCCACCTTCCAAAGCGGCCATTTTCTACCGGTGAACTGGCCTCTGTCACCTGGAGATCAGTTGTAATCCCATAACACCTCCAACCTGGAGACTGGCAACCCTACATGCCAGTGACTGCGATTCCAGATGTAGAAGGAGAAGGAGAAGAAGAAGAAGGAGAAGAAAAAGAGGAGGAGGAGGAGGAGGAGGAGATTGGATTTGTACCCCGCCCTTCACTCGGAGTCTCAGAGTGGCTTACAAACCCCTTTCCCTTCCCCTCCCCACAACAGACACCCTGTGAGGTAGAAGAAGAAGAAGAGATTGGATTTATAGAAGAAGAAGAGGAGATTGGATTTATACCCCGCCCTTCACTACCCAAAGGTGTCTCAGAGCAGCTTACAAACCCCTTTCCCTTCCCCTCTCTACAACAGACACCCTGTGAGGTAGGTGCGGCTGAGTGAGAGAGCTGTCCTTGAGAGAACAGTTCTGACAGAACAATGGCTTGCCCAAGGTCATCCAGCAGCAGCAAGTGGAGGAGTAGGGAATCAAGCCCGGTTCTCCCCAGATTAGAGTCCACACACTTAACCACTACACCAAACTGGCTCCCTGAGACTTCTCTGATATGGCCTACAGAATCTTTTGAAATTTTCAGTACCTGTGAACACTTTTATGCATGCACACATATGCCCACACACTATTCTTCGCTATTAAAGATGCCAACATAGCTAAAGCGACCAAAATGATGAGGTAAATTAAACACCTCAAATGTATTTTTCCTCAGTTACCATGTGGAATGGTTTTTGAAGGGCTGGCTCGGGTATTCCAATTCTCAGGGCAAAAATCCCATAATCATAACTTAATGGAACATAAACAGATTATGGTTACAAGCAGTTGTAGCTGCCTACAGGAAAAACAGTAATGCAAAAGGGGGGGGGGATCCGCTACAAATGAAAAATGTTAAAAAATCTGTTTTGGAAAATGTTTATGGTTACACAGAAAAACATGTACAATTACACAGAATAATTAATTGTGGCTCAGTGGCAGAGCATCTGCTTGGCACGCAGAAGGTCCCAGGTTCAATCCCCAGCACTTCCAGTTTAAAGAATCAGGTAGGAGGGGATGTGAAAGACCTCGGCCTTTTTCTTTATCTTGCATATTAACCACAGCACTCCCCTTTATGATATAGTCTTGATGTGGTTTGCTTTCCCTGAATGAAGACAGGTTTTCAAAGGCAACTTGCCTGCTGCTATGCTACCAAAATCATGCATGTGAACGACAGCATATAGATACTTATCATATATTTGCTTCCTCTGTCTCCTAGCTATCTCAATTTTTTTTCAAGTATAGCTAAAGATCTCTGAGAATTCAAAGGCATGTGAGTTGCACTCTTCTTCAAATGTATATTTTTGTGTTTACTGAATGAATACAGAGGGGAGTGAAACGGTATTCTCTGGACCCAATCATGCAGATGATTGACTGTAAGCACAGACATCAGATGGTTGAACCAAGGGGTCTGATCCTGTTCCCCTCAGTGCACAAACAGGCAAACATTTGAAGGCATATTCTGTCATGTTCCACTCAATGATTTTCAAAATGTCCTCAAATGTATGCACAACACATGAAAACAGAGTTGATTTTTTAAAAACGCAAATTAAAGTTGAATTGTGCATCTGAAGAGGAAAAGGAAATAGGAAATCAAGCAATAGAGATTCAGAAATTACTTTAAGGCCCTTTAATCAGACCAAGACTTGTGAATGTCACGGAAAATAAACAAGGGCCCCGGTCACACGGGCTGGAAAATGTGGGGGGGGGGAGCGTGGCTGTTTGCCCCGGAGCAAAATAACGTGCGGCCGCCCAATCACATGTCCCACCAATCACACAGCTATCTTGCAGTGCGGCAAAGCAGTGGCGCGGCGTGATCACACCAGCAATTGCTAGGCGCCACTTCCGTGGCAAACGGGAACATTTTTTTTTCTCACTAAAAGGTGAGCATGCACATGATCGTTTGTGCACATCCTGTGAAGGCTTCAAAAAAAATCTAACCGGTTTGCAACGGGACTAGGACGGGACACGATCAGACGCCCGCCCATGCCCCACGTTTTCTGGAAACTAGTACATCGTAAGTATTAGTTTTTTACTCCGTATCTTCAGCACGAAGCCACGGGTTAGACACGGGTGCACTACACTTCCCAGATGTTGCAGTGTGATCGCGCCCGGAAAATCCGCCTATCATCCGTATCTTTAGTGCGGCAAATGCTCCGTGTGAACAGGGCCAAGGATGAGTAAAAGATTAGTTAAAGAACAATAGTCCCTAGAAAAGAAATTAAGGTGGGATCTTAGAGGCATCATTTTTCAGATGACATATATTCTTTCAACATCACTACTTTTTATATAATGCTTCAAAAACCTATTTGTCTAGAGGTAATAGTGGTACAAGGGGCTGCGGTGGCTCAAGTGGTTAAGATGCTGAACTGCAGGCTGTGGAAGGTCGGTAGTTCAGCAGTTCGAGACCTGAGTGCCGCATGACGGAGTGAGCTCCCATCTCTGGTCCCAGCTCCTGCCAACCTAGCAGTTCGAAAGCAAGACATTGCAAGTAGATAAAGAGGTACTGCTTCGGTGGGAAGGTAACAGCGTTCCGTGCACCTTGGCGTCTAGTCATGCCAGCCAGTCTTTGGGCAGCGCTGGCTCTTTGGCTTGGAAATGGAGATGAGCACCACATCCCTAGAGTCAGATTCGACTGGCTTTCGAGCAAGGGAAACCTTTACCTTTACTTTACTTTATTCAGGTACAAGCTCTCCCTCCTCTGCGAGGACAGATCTGCACCTCCCCCCCCCCGATAGCTAGCAATCCAAAACAGTCCAGTGGAGCCTGAGCAATGGGTGTTGCCTTCTGACACAATTCTGGTGATGTCACAGGGTGTGCCATATGCAAATGAGTTACGCTAATGAGTTATGCTAATGAGCTCCTGCACCTCTTTTTCTACGAAATGACCCCAGGGTAAAGGTAAAGGTTCCCCTTGCTAATAATAAGACAATAATATTAAACCTGGAATACCAAAGGAAGCCACAAGGCAGGATGGGGTACAGGGGCGGGGGGTGAAATATGTTTGTCTTCTTTTTCTGTAGCATTTATACATGATTCCACTTATTGGTAAATCTGCCTGGTTTTATGCCTCCGTTTAATAAAAAAGTTGGAGCTTTTGGGGGAGCAATGCAATTGATTTTTTTCCCCCACGGACGGAAATTTTTGTTTATTTTCAGAACCTAAGATCACATCTGTTGCTTTGGGGATGGACAAATACTTCCGGTATGAAGGTCTGACTTAAAAGAAGCTATATGTCAGAAGTGAAATTTCCTTCTGTGCAATCCTAAGCAGAAGAATACCTTTCCTAAACCCAATGATTTCACAGTCAGTCTTTGAGATCAGCGGGCTTTATTTTTATTTATTTATTTACTTCTATTCTCTAGAATTGCAGCGCAAAGCTCTGGTCATGTGAATACTCTCACTATAGTTCAGCTAGATCAAGCATTTGTCCCCATAAATATATAGATCATTAGATCCAATCGTATTTTTCCAGGAAATGTTTTAATGGAAGGCAGCAGTTAGTTTCAACAACACTTCAGAGATATTTTAGTATGAAGAGTTTTTTATCGATTGCCTAACATAAAATCAGTGCCATCGTGAAATGGGAAATTAGTTACTATATGGTAAGCTTGATTTAGAGAGAACCTGAAGCTTGCTAGATTCCGGTGAATGCCCTCAGCCCTTGCAAATAGATGGTATTGTATTGTAAAACACCTGCTGAATTATTATGGGGAGGAGAGTGGTTGGAAGACATTCCCCACTACATGAATCACTGAATTATTTAAGAGAATACTCAGAATGGGTTTCTGAAGCAATTCTTGTACCAACATGAGCACTGTTTCAACTGACAAAAATGACAGTTCCTCCTTGCCAATGGCAATATGGCGATTTCTTGGACAGTGACCTGATGAGTGTGTGAAGCAACGGCAAAAATATTTTGACTCACGCATACATTGTTG